ATCGCTTACAACTTGCAACCACTGAATTGCATTATTAATCACTAAATTCTTAAATCTAAACTCTTAATCTTCGTCTTAAGTTCTCGGCAATTCATCATGTAATCTCTTGCAGGTCAGGCCATCGGTGACTGTGATCATCAGCACTCGCGAATCGTCTGCAAATGATAATATAGATGCGTGGGTAAGTTCAGAGTCGATGTCGGCGATGTGGATGAGGAAGAAGATCAGGCCAAGCACCGATCCCTGCGGCACTCCTCTTCTCATCCTCGCTTCGTTCGATTTCGGGTCTCCATGGCAATAGCTTGTACTCTGACCGTAAGGAAATTGTGGCTCCATGCTAACAGGCTTCCTCCTAACCCCAGTCGCCTTGGCTTCCTAAAGAGCACCCCGTGGTCAACTTTGTCAGAAGCTTTAGTGAAGTCGAGGTATACTAATTGTGCATTACACTGCTTGTGGAGTGCAGTGATTGAGCAGTGCACTGATTGTGAAGTGCAGTACTGAACATTTGTGCAGTCTGCATTGATTGTGCGGTGCGGTGCAGTGCAGTGCACGTGTTAGGGTACGGCCAGACTAAAAGCGTTGGCGCGTACGCAGGCGTACGCGCGCTCACGCTGCGATATTATATGTATGTATTTCTACCAGAGTGGCCACACTAAACGCTTACAGGCTGAAGGTGCCTCAAGCGTACACACGCGTTGCCGCGCGGTGGAAAATCGACATTACTCTAGACAAATATTTCGACGCGGACACGCGCGTTCAGTGTCCTTGAAGCAGCCATGAGAGAAGGATGTCGACGCATTGCTCTCGTCAGTTGAGGCGGTACCTGCAATCTGGGATTCCTCTCACCCACAGCACAGTGATGGGACAAACATCAGCATCCACTGGTCTATGATAGCTGATGCACTCAATATTTCAGCTAATAACAGTAATAATACATTCTTTTATCAAACAAAGAGAATAGAAGTGAACGAACTTAGCACTCAAAGCACGAGGATATTCTAATTGTTTATTTAGAGCATATGATACTGCCAAGCAACTTTTCCTGCATCTGATACGAAATAATTTGTGACTTTCCCGAACATCTGTTGCAATTCTACAGCTGTTTCTAAGAACAGGAGCAATTATAGTTTCAGGTTGATCATTCGATGCATTCAATTCCACTGATATGCCGTGTCTTTATCAAATTTTTATCTAACAAGTAACAAGAATCACGTTGCTCAAAACCGTAATTGCTTTAGTTATTTCTGCAGCATTATCCATGCTGGTCTCGATGGATTTCGTTAAAAATCTGAATTTTGAAGTCAAAATGCCAAAGGTGCATTCTACCCAACGCCGAGCTCTTGATAGTCTGTAGTTATATATTTACTTGCTTTCATCTATGTATTGGCGGGGGCATGGTCTCATTAAGTTAGGAAGCAATGGGTAAGCTGCATCGCCTTGCAACACAAGTGACGTTTCATCATGACTCATACATAACCTCATGCATCATATAAGGTATGCATCATATATAACCTCATCTGAACGGATTCCAAAAAAAGACAAAATAAAGTATATATGTGATTTTTAAATTTATCTTTTCTTTCCCTATAAAACTTTCATCAAGGAGAACGGCTGTTAGTCTCTCGTAGACACTCATTTCTACACACTGACTCGCAGTAAGCTGCACGGTTCAGCGTCTAGTTTGGACACCATACGCGCGGCGCGGCGCCGCTCTGCTAGTCTGCTTGAAGCGTCAGCCAGCGTACGCGTGAACGCTTTTAGTCTGGCCGTAGCCTTATGCAGTGCATTACGCTGTTTGTGGAGTGGCGTGATTGTGCAGTACACTAATTGTGCAATGAATTAATTATGCAGTGCAGTAACCTGCTTGTGGACTACACTGATTGTGCAGAGCACTGAATATGAAGAGCAGTGCTGCAAGTAATCCAATTGCGCACTTGTGTGACTCAAGATATCGTTGCCTGCTTCAGCACTCCACCTCTTTCGGGCATCACAATATTATTCATCGCCCGGAGGGTCGAGATTTCACAGCCACAAACGATATTAGTTGATATAGGAACGTGAACCTTTGTAGTGACTCGAATTTTTATATCGCACTGTCTTTAATTGTGAACTTTGTAATTAATTTTATTAAACCTTAAAGCTAGTTAATTGATCATCAATCTCCATAGCTATTGCCTATTGGCAACGTAATTACCATGAACTCGCCTACTTATTTCGGATTTCATTAATTTCACTATTAAATAATTATACAAATATTCAGTCAGGGAATCTTGTCAATTCTCGAGCAAGAATAACACTCGTGTAATTTCTGGACAATCAAAATTCAGTAAACGACGAAGATACTTTGATCTTTGAATCATACCATCAAATATTGTGAATTCTGTTTAGAGTGCCCAGTGGGTAAATAGCCAGTCGCACACTAGCTTGATTTTCTGTGTGACGCCGTGATGTGAACAACTACGTACTAAGCGGTGTTGGTCGCTTCTGTCATTCTTCCATCCATCAATGAACACAGTAAATATTTACCCAACCTACAAAATACTTCTTTACAAAATACCTATTTTTTACAGTATTCAAAATTTCTTTACCCCAACCTACAAAATACTTATTTACACTAACTAATTAGGGAAGCGGGACGGCCGTTTGTAACTTCTAAATCCAACCTCAACACCATTAGCAACCCTAGCTCTTTCTTCAGTGGTGACCCTTATATACTAACATCCTACCTCACTGTGAATAAAAGTCCAACCTTGCCTACCAACATCCCGAAAACTCCAAGGGGTCAGACAAATTAGAACTACTGACCTAATCCAGTTCTTGAATCTCTGCTTTAGCTGTAGTTTATTGCACAGAAGAAACTTGATATAGACTTAACCTAACCGAAACAAAACTATCACCTTTAAAGTATTTGAACGGATTACGTAATGAATTGAACCACCTATGATAACTTGCAAGGAAGCTGTGCATATAACATAACATAACATATTGATCTCGGCGCTGATGTGTAGGCCTGATGTGGCCTGTCGCCGATTCTTTTCCTTTTCGTGCCTTGTTCACAGAAGATCTAATATCGTTTCATTTGACCGGATATTTTCATGACTGACGATAGTTTCAAGTAGCTACTAGACTTCCACCGGCTTCGATATGGTGCTAGGCATTTCAAATCTGAACATATGTTTTTCCATAGCTTTATCTAGTCTGTTCTTGAACGCGTTCATACTTGGAGCGCCAACGATGTCATTGGGGAGTCTGTTCCACATGTCGGTGATTCGAAACGAGAAGAAATTTTGTCGCGTGGAGAAGTTGCAGCGCAGTTATTTTAGTTTATAGCCGTGGCCCCTGGTGTTGGTTCTTGTTTCAAATTCTAGTAATCCTTCGGGGACCTTGTATAAACCACGAGTATACTTGTACCTATATTTCAATGAGGTCCCCACGCAGACGTCGATAACTGAGGCTTGGAAGCTTCATAATCTTCAATCTTTCTTCATAGGACTTGCCCTTCAAGCCTGGAATTATCCTTGTTGCACGTCTTTGAACATTCTCTGTTAAATTTCTGTCCTTTTCAAATCTCGGTGACCACGCAACGTTTCCAAACTCTAGATTCGGGCGCACTACAGCAACAAACAACTGCTTCATCGCTTCTGCATCTAGGAACTCGTATGAGCGTCTGATTAGTCCAAGAAGTTTGTTGGATGTGTTAGCTTGCGTTTCAACATGCTTAGAAAATTTGGCTCCTTGTCGACATAAACTCCGAGATCTTTTTCCACACTAGACTTTTCAATCATTACTCTCTCGTTGCAACCATGTCTTCTCATACTGTAATCTTACTGTTCATTGTTCTTCCCGAGGTGTAGTACTTTACACTTGTCAGCATTAAACCGCAGCTGCCTCGTATCAGCCCAGTTAACTAAACTATCAAGATCATCTTGCAATTGCGCATTATTTGACGCATCCTTCACTGAATGATAAACATTTGTGTCGTCGGCATACATGGATCACACGCTGGACACAAATTCTGGCAGATCGTTTATAAAAGCAACGAACAAAATAGGCCCAAGAACGCTTCCTTGTGGCTCGCCACTGCGCACTTATGCCCAGTCTGACACGGTTCCGTTAACACTGACACGTTGTCGTCTACCTACTAGAAAATCTCTTATCCATTGGAGTACGTTTCCCTCAATTCCCAAAGTCTTCACTTTACGCAACAGCCGCTCATGCGGGACACTGTCAAATGCTTTGGCAAAATCGAGGTACAATGCATCAACTGGTTCCCTTTCGTCCAGCAGGCGAGTCCAATCGTTCAACGTAGATAATAAGTTAGTGGTGCAGGATCTACCGGCAATAAAACCATGTTGACAAAATGAAAGGAGATGGTGAGCAGTCAAGTGATCGATAATCCTATCCCTCATAACCGATTCCATTAGCTTACAAGAAACACTTGTCAGACTGACATGGCAATAGTTGCCGGGGCTGCTTTTGTCACATTAGTTGAACAATGGTGTTACTAGAGCTTCTTTCCAGTCGGACGGCAAAGTTCCTTTGTTCAAGGTTTTTTGAAAGAATACTGTCAATGGGCCGGCCAGAACGGTTGCTAATTCTTTGAGCAATCTGGGATGGAAGCCGTCTGGTCCACATGACTTGTTGGGAGTTAGAGCTACCAGGTGCTTGAGAAACTCTTCATAGTGTATTTCGATCCATCGTGTCTCAACCTGATGAATCTCTGTAAGAGAATACCAGTTACGTGATATTTCTTTCTGGAACTGGTCTTTTAGCGCATTTTCTCAATTGTGAAAAAGGCGCTCGTCATGTCCGTCCGTCTGTCTGTCCGTCCGTCCGTGACTTTTCGTTTTCGTCGACGAGAAAATGCGCTCTCCCTCACTCACTGCAGTGAGTACTGAGTTTTATTTTTTAATTATGACTTATTGTCATATACCCATATGCAACAATACCCTACATGCAGAGAAAAAAAAACGTGTAAAGTTTCCGAAGTTGCGGAATTGTACCTTGTACTCACTCAAACCATGGCAAATTTTTGTTGCATGAATCTGATAGTTCTGATTCAAGTCAACCATTTCCAATTTTCCATACACAATAAAGGAACAAAACAGGTGTGGGGTCACGATGATTAAAGCAATTCTTGTATTCAACAACCACGGAAAACCAAGGCTTAGCAAGTTTTACCAATATTTTGTAAGTATGTCGTTTTTAAGCAACTCAACTTACCTGGTTCCTGCTTGCACTTGCAGTGCTACAGTTTACTGTTCTAAAATCAGATATTCCTTACTCCGAAAATAGTAAGTTAGTAACCATTCCATTAAAGGAATACCCAAATGCAGCCATAATTTCAAAAATCACAGGCAAGTATAATTGCTTCAAGGCTGATTCTCAAATATTGTAGACAAAAAATTATTGTTTGTCTTAATTTTTTCAGGACGTAGCCCATTACAATGAAATTCCAAGTTCCAACATAATTATTAGTCAACCCATCTGAACTCTCAAGTTGAGTCAAGTGCCATAGGGATAATAACTATTTCAGTTATAATTTCTTTGCAGAATGAAGAACTACAACAGCAGATAATCAAAGAAACTTTCCAACTAGTTTCTAAGAGAGATGACAATGTCTGCAACTTTTTGGAAGGGGGAAGGTATGTTTATAATGTTTAATTCTAATTCAATGGTCTGCTTTGTACAATCAATATCTATGCCTCTTAAATATTAAAATATCACTGTACAAGAACAAGAGAAAATTCACAACAATGGTGGCAGGCCCGATTGGAAATTTAAGGTAATGATCAGGAGTACTGCTTTTCAAAATTCTCACGGAATTACACCAAACCGCCATAAGCCATTGCACGGATTTTGTAAGAGATCTTGAACATTCTCACGGAATTGCTATGTTTTCACGATTCATCATTTAAACAACTAACATCTCAATTTCGTCTAAAAAAAGATTACTCATTACGTTGCCTTAATCCTTGAGCGTAGAAAATAAACACCTAAAATGTTTTAGTGTACTGAATTAGAATTACTGCATCCATTGCACCTTCTTCAACCATGGTGGAATTCTGACAAGAGAGATACTTATGGCGCTCCGGGGGGGGGGGGGGGGGGCCCC